TTGCACAGTTGATTTAATTGACGTAAAAATGTCTGAATGTCACAGTGTAACAGTGTACTGTTAAATATATACAGTACATACATATACCAAATATATATTTACATATGATTACAATCCATATATATTTTTCAAAAATGTTTAATAGGAAAGACATAGAACTGAAAAGTTTAATGTTCAAACTGCCTTTAAAATCTGTGAAGCTATACCTTGAGTTATTTTATATCACTGGAAGGCTCAGTGTGAATCTGAAGCAGTGTGTCGTCGCTCAGCTGAATGGCAGATAAACAGACTGTAGGAATGATGTCATCTGGACCAGCTCCACAGAATATTGAATAATGAACTATACTTCTCTGAGATCAGCCATTGTGATTTTACTGGGATGATTCACTAATAGCAGCCATGCATTCAATTAAAATTGGTTAGGACGTGAGAAAGCTAATAAAAACTCCATGAGTCAATCACTAATTAATAAATAAGTCAATTATTTACTATTATAGGCCTACTAATAAAACATCATCTGATGACACTGTGGAGTCTCTATGAAGTCTTGATGTTCTGCTTTTACTGTGCTTGTAGACTTAACCCTTCAAAGCTAGAATTTGGTTCAAGGGGAAATATCCCCGTCATTTAAAAAAAGGCTTCAATCTTATCACAACAGACAACATGATATTTTTGTCTTTTGTAATGGTCACTGTTTCAGATCAAGTGATCATAGGGCAATTCATTCTTGCCATGACATGGTTCAGAGACACCAGGCACCACAAGGTTGACCCCAAATAGCTTGCATGTATTTCATGACGTGTGACAACATTATGAGATGTCTTAGATGCTCAACTGACATACTATAGCTAGAACATACTACACAGAATAAAACATGTAATTGTCGCATCCAATGCCATCTTTCAATCCCTGCTGAAGGGACTACTGAAACGACTCTTCTGTCTGTAACAGAAGCCCTAAGGTCAGCTAAAGCTGCAGCCCAATCCCTGGTTCTTATCCTGCTTGACCTATCAGCTGCCTTTGACAGTCAACCACAGGATCCTGCTATCCACTCTCTCAGCAATGGGCATCTTGAGTAAAGCACTCCTGTGGTTCGAATCCTACCTCTCGGGGCGTTCCTACAATGTTTTGTGGCAAGGACAATTATCCTCCTCCCACTGCCTCTCCACAGGGGTGCCCTAAGGCTCAGTGCTTGGGCCCCTTCTCTTCTTAATTTACACCACCTCACTGGGGCCGATCTTTCGCTCGCACGGCTTCTCTTACCACTGCTACGCAGACGACAGGCAACTCTACCTATCCTTCCCTCCAGGCGATCCCACTGTCTCGGCGCGGATCACGGACTGTCTATCAGACATATCTGCATGGATGAAGGCTTGCCACCTTCAACTAAACCTCTCTAAGACTGAACTCTTGGTCATTCCAGCCAAGCAATCTATCCACCATAACATCAAACTACAAACTGACTCCGCAACCTTCACTCCAACCAAGGTGGTGAGAAACTTGGGTGTCATGATTGATGACCAACTGTCCTTTTCAGACCATGTTGTCATGTCTCTCGGTCATGCCGCTTTGCTCTATCCGACATAAGGAAAATCGGGCCCTACCTCACTCAGTATGCCACCCAGCTTCTGGTACAGGCCATGGTTATCTCTTGCATCGACTATTGCAATGCCCTCCTAGCAGGTCCTCCAGCTTGTGCGGTGAAACCCTTACAAATGGTTCAGTGGTTGGGTTTTTGATGTCACTGAGTCACTCCATTACTCAGTGACCTCCACTGGCTCCCCGTGGCCTCCAGAATCAAATTCAAGTCACTAAAGCTTGCATACAGAGTGACTACTGGGTCTGCACCCATCTACCTAAACTCCATAATACAAACTTACGTTCCTTCTCACCCGCTACGCTCCTCCAACGAACGCCGCCTGGCTCTGCCATCCCTTCACACAAAGCAATCCCAGTCCCGGCTATTCTCATCTGTGACACCACGATGGTGGAACGAGCTACCACACGCCATCAGAGCACTGATGATAGAAGCTCTTGAAAACTCATCTCTTCCAAGAACACTTCCTCTTATAACACCTCTAACTCCTAATCTCTAACATACACTCATGCATTCTATCCCCTACAATGATCTTGTATTGATTGCACTTTTCGTTTTGATTGCACTTTTTGTTAACTCTTTCTTCCTTCCCAAGGTATTTACCCCATTGATGTGATATGTACTCTGAGCTCTTACTAATACTTATTGCTGCTCTTACTAGTATGTATTGTCAGTTGTAGATCTGCAGTTGATGCTCTGTTGATGCTTGTATGTTGTTCCTCAAATGTAAGTCACTTTGGATAAAAGCGTCTGCCAAATGAGTAAATGTAATTTAATGTAAAATGTAAAAACTGTTCCTGCTCTGTGATCACTGTCAGTTTCTTTAAATGCAGCTGAATTCACAACATAATTAAATTACATATTTTTTCTATTTTTGTTGTCAGATGAGTGAATGAGACTGAAATTGGACCGTGGCTCATTAATACTGTGCTGGCCAGCAGTCAAGCAGGAAGCTTCCAGTCAGAGAACTGATGCAATCGCAGAAGTCTCTTAAACCTGCATTCTATTGAACAGCCAGCAGGGGTGATTCTTCTGGTTGCAAAAAGAGGTCTGATTCCATTAGTAATAATGGCAAAATGACCCTACTTCTCAGCTGATTTATTACCTCAGTAAACACTTTCCTAACTTTCCTTCTTCAATAAAACATGATGTTCATTTAGTAAATTATGGTCCCATTTAGAGGAAAATAGACCAGTATGCTTCAGGACAGGATTGTCAGTGATTGACTAGCCGTTACCATGGAGACCTGTCAATCAGGCTAGAGTGACTCGCACCCACGGCACTGTGTAAATTTAACCAGTTTTAACAACCGTTGAAAAAGCTTATTAGGAGTTGGCTGTTCACTTTCTCTGCTGAGAACATTTAGTTTTAAGAGTTTGTTCGCTAGCTCCACACAGGGCCGTTAGCTCCACTGTCTTGTCCAAATGTGGTCACGTCTGGTGCCACTGGTTGCAAAAAAATCAACATAGCGGCGCCCTATCGACCAAACTCGAGCCTTCAGAACGGCAGTCCACAAACCAACAGGTGACATCATGATGACTACTGGTGCGTTCCATTTACCTCAGAAGTCGGAGGTCGGAGCTGGGAATGACATCACACCCAAGTTGATGGCGTTCCAGTTAACAAGTCGGAAAACCTTGCTCAGCCAGTCGTTGTTTACAACTAGCCAGTTGATTAAAAAAAATGCATTGTGCGGTATTTACTCACACTAAACACTGTAGCACATACAGCTGTTGGACAGCACTTTGTGTACAAACATTTCTATGAGACAGAAGTGCTAATAAACAGTATAAACTAGAGCTTTCACTAACTGTTGCGCGATTCTCCCGACTTCCGAAGTCGGGATTCCGACTTAAGGGGGCATTCCCTTTGAAATTTTGACCTTTGAACTCGGAAATTCCGACTTCCCATGTCAAATGGAATGCACCATACCACTTCTTATCTACAGTCTATGCCAGCAGTCTTCTAAAATCATTATTTTATGATCACGACATTGTCAGACAAACAAAATTACAGGGTAACAACAACTGTATTGTGAGATCTGCTATACAGACATTTGAAATGAATGATGACAGTGAGCGGTCCTCAATATAGCCTAAAAATCATCTGTGACAATATAATGAACTACAAACGTGTATTCTACATGCTTATAAAACATGGAAAATTATGACCAAACTGTCATAGTTCTTGGTTGTTGGGGTTTTGTTTTCAATGTTTTCTGGTTTACTTTGTAGTTTTGTCTGTCCCTTGTGTCTTTGTCTTGTTTTACTTACTGTCCTTGTGTTTCTGGGTTGATCGTCTCATCATCTCCACCCCATGTGTATTTAAGTCTCTGTCTCACTTGTGTTAAGTTGCGTGTTCATTGTTCACCAGTCACTCTTCTAGTGTTCACCACAGTCTCCGGGGTTTACCTCATGTTTTTTTTCATTTGGATTAATGGATTATTGCCTTTTGTTTCTGGACTTACTTTGCTTTGCTTTAGAATGCTTCATCCCAACTGTGAGTGTCACCATTTAGGTCAATAAATATGATGAAGTATATTTCATCTGTGTTAGTGTCTGCATCTGGGCACAAAACCTCTGTTTCCTGTGTCTGAAATTGGAACTATCACAAGTCGTGACTGAACCGAAGTATAGCCAGAGCGCAGCCGGATGTTGTGTACACTCCGCATCAACCTAGCATTGGTATGGATGTGTCAATAAGATAATGGACAAGTGTCAAAGGAGGAACTTAACCAGAGGGAGAGACAACACAGGAACAAGCTAAGGTACAGAATTTGTCAAAACCTGAGGTCAGAACCGACCAAAGTCAAGCCCCAGGTATTGTTAGGACTGTGGATTTAACCATGCTCACTGAGAATTCCTTATTCTGATCAGCTGGCAGGTGTCCAATCATTTATCATACCTAGACAGTGTAACTGGACATGTCCAGAGAATTTGCTCTATGCCTGTGTGTCATGCATTACAATTGCAAAACAATATTGTACCTTACACAATCAATATGCATTCCAAACTTATACATACTTAAAACAAAAGGTATTGCACTTGGTATGAAGACAAATTTCATCTTAAAGTCAGTCAAGTTTTTATAAATTATTCATGAAATACAAGAGCCGTTATTATAAGACATTATTAGAAGCTGTGACTTCAGAGTGACTGTCTGACCATGAGCTTTCATCTGTGCTATGTCCTGTTAAACTTTAACAAACTCAAAATAAATCAGGTATAAGGGAATTTTACTTCAAAATAGTATTTATCGCGGGGTGCCAGGTGGTGTTACAAAGAAAGTAAATCTCCCCAAAACATTGAAATATTAATAAACATTGTTATGGCCTGGTGTTACGACCCCCCACCACCAAAGCTCGTTATAAGAGGGGGTTGAACATAACCGAAGAGTCCAGGAGTAATGCAAACATAAGTTTATTGAAATAAACATGAAATAAGTTCAAAATTTAACTTAAACAAAAACAACAAGTCTGATGGGCTGGCCAAAACAAACAAAAGAAAGGGAAGCCCTCCAGACCAGCCCACAAAAGGGCCGTAGGATCTGGAGGCTTCCCCTCTACCCTAAACCAATCCCTAACTAAACAAACAGAAATAAAGCCGCGAAAACTAAACTACCAGTCCCATCAGAAATATAAGAAAAGAACGATAATCAAGGAAATACAAATTGGTCGCAGTCTCAGAGTTGTGCTGCTGCCATGGCTGGAAGGTGGGCCAGAGAGAGAGCCAAGCACCCAGCCCCCTCTTATCAGTTTCTCCCCTCGTCACCCAAACCTAAGACACCTGAGGGAAAAAACAGACACATGAGTCACCGTCATCCAGAATTGTACATCATGACCTGGGGGGGGGGCGAGGATGTAACACCTGGCTCAAAAGGCCACAACAAAAGGGAGAAACACCATGGTAAAAATATGTTTATTTGAATGTATATGTGTGAAGGTGTTGTAGTATGCAAAAACCAGATAAATACCACAAAGTAAGAATCCAAAACCAAAGACAACCAAACTAAAGGAGAAACCGGGGAGCCAGCCGCAGGGAGGTCTGACCTGGTCTTGACAGCAGCCTGCTGCAGAATGAGAAAACAAGGTTACTAATAGCCTACACTCAAAGACACTGGGCCCAGGTGCTTTCAGTTATCATAATCAGCTCTTGATCTACAAGGGAAAGAGAGATAGGCCACACCCACTTATGACCCCACAGGGCATCACAACATAAACACTATTGATCCATTTTCCTATGACCAAAGAACTCCATGAAAAATAAAATGAAATGAAGAATAAAAGGCCACTAAACAATTCAACATCATCTTAAATGTTCAATCATTTAACTCTTACCTCTGTGGGTCACTGTGGTTTATGTCTTCAGGTGGATTTGAACCTCCAACCCTGCCGTTGTAACGCTTCTCCCCTCCCTCAGATCTGAATCTGGTCCTGTTTGTTATCTGCACATTTTCACTCCCTCAATTCAGACTGCAGCCGCCTGCTATGAAGGTCATTTACCACTTCATTTGTCAAACCACTTGAGCTACCTACATTTCACACTTCACCACTTATAATTTCCTTCCTGCATAATGATTTATTTATTTACTTATTTGTATTTGTTCAAACTGTATTCTTGTTTGCGTAGCATGAGTAATAACCTTATTAATTCATCTGGCAGGCTGGTTTCTGGTCCATTTCACCCATAGAACACAAGGTCTCAGGGCAGTCTTAGTATATTTCAGAATATATAAAATGATATATAATATTATATTGATTGTATGCAGGTCTCTCAGAGTGGATAGGGAATGATACATTTGAAAACAGAAGCATGTCTGTTTCGTGAGATGGATAAATGATGCTCATATTGGGTTGTTTTTGAAAGGGACTGAAACAGTTTGGAGGCAGAACCACATACCGATAGTGTAACTGACAAAAAGTAACAGCAGTAAATTGTTGACTGTGATTTATCAGCTATAAAGCTACATTAGAGTTGCAAGTGGATTTTTAGTCTTTTTAGACTTTTTCAGATGGCGCCAGTGTGTAAGGCAAGCCGTCTGTCAGCATCACGCTGCATCATCTTTTGTTTGCTGCTGCTTTATTTCTGTGTTTTTGCTGCTGGGATGTAACTAGCCTTCTCATTTATGATCGCCACTTTGTTTGACATCCAAACGTCCTGTGAGGCTTTGGGGCTGTCTAGAGATGGTTGGGAGAACAGGCTGGAGGCCTCCCCCCATGGTTGTCCAACATCCCAGACTACCTGCGCTGTGTCCCGTGTGATCTTCCCCAGAAAAAGCGCCACAGGAGACGTGGAAAGCGTGCCAGAGTGCTTGCTCGCCTCAAGGCTTAACTGAGGTCCTCGGATGTGCCTCATCCTCGTCTCCTCTACGGTGGGCGAGACTTGGCTTCATGTTGGTGAGTCTGCTTCCTTTTCTGAGCTTCTCCCTCCAAACTGTACATTTTTTAGCTCTCCTCGGACCACTGGCAAAGGTGGAGGACTTGCCACTGTGTTTAAATCCACCTTCCAGTGTCGGCTCTCTGCATCTGCCACCTATTCCAGCTATTTGAATTAAACGCCTCTTCCCCGACGCTGTGTGCAGTTGTGTATCGTCCACCGAAATTCAACAAAGATTTTATGCAAGAGTTTGCTGATTTTATAGCAGGTGTAAGGTTAAACTACGGCCATTTTATAATTTGTAGTGACTTTAATTTACATGTATGCTGTGAAAGCAAACCTATGGTTAAATACTTCTTAATTCTTTTAATCTCACTCAGGCTCAAGGTCTGGCCCAACACATGAAAAGGGACACACATTAGACCTTGTGCTGTCTCATGGCTTGTGTGTTCATGTAAATGAAATCTGTAACATATGTATTTTGGATCACTTCCCTGTCTTATTATAAATTACAGTCCCATTTTCTTTGGTCAAACCTCCTTTTGCACGCTGCTGTCGTGTAATTAACGGTCAAACCCAGGCACAGTTCTCGGCTGCTTTCAAAGACTCTGTGCTCTATAACTTGGATGGAGGTGATGCTACAGGTGCTGATGAACTTATTAATCTTTTTAATTCAACCTGCACAAACATCTTGGACTACAGCACTTTCAGAGACCTGGTTAAATGACACCACCCGAGCGATTAGACGTGCATGTCGGCAAGCTGAGAGAAGGTGGAAGAAAGATAAACTCAGTGTCATATGAAATCCTACAGCAATATCTATCTGACTATCAGAGAGCTGTAAAATCTGCAAAATCTGATTTTATTTCTAAGCTGGTTGCCAACAACTGTCACAGGCCACAGGTTCTTTTTAACATGTTTAACACCATTACAAATCCCCGTGATGATCCTCATCCAAAGGAACACTAACGAACCAGCAGTATCGATGACCCTGGCAAACGACCCCACTGAGGTTAAATAGCTGAGTTTCCCTGCCAGTCAGTCAGAACTGAAGAAGTCCTTTGGATGAGGGACGAAACGTCTTCCAGTATCTTCAACCAAGTCCAGTTGCCCTTGACTTTAACCTTCGTTAGGCACTTTTAAGAGTTTTTAATGACTTGATTTTAACTGTTGACTCAGGAGTCTCTGCCATCCTAGTGCTCTTAGACCTCACTGCTGCCTTTGACACTGTTGACCACTCAATCCTCTTGTCACGGTTTGGAAAATTATGTGGGAATCAAAGGTACTGCACTTAGGTGGTTTCAATCCTATTTAACCGATAGGAGCTTCTCTGTCCACCTCGGTGATTATTCCTCTGAAACGGCCCCATTTACCTGCGGTGTCCCTCAAGGTTCTGTCTTAGGCCCCATCTTATTTTCTTTGTATATGCTGCCCCTGGCCTCCATCATTGAGATGTATGAGGTCTCTTTCCACTGTTTTGCAGACGATATTCAACTTAATTAATTTTTTTGCCCCTTAATGTAAAAGCAAAGGGCTCACTGCAGCCCCTGCTTGACTGTATGAAGGACATCAAAATGTGGATGAACCTAAATTTCCTCAACCTAAACGGAGACAAGACAGAGATCATAGTGTTTGGACACCCTGAACTGCTTGATGTAGATTCTCTCGGCCCTTTAACTTCAAATAGCCGCTCAACTGTGAGGAGTCTTGGCGTACGTATTGGATAGTGCGTTTAAATTTGAATTTTATATAAATAAAATTGATATATTGATATTTAGTAGAAAATACAAACAGCCTTGAAAGGAGTAAACCAGTCTATGTATGGTCTGCAGCGATGTGACATGTTTGTTTTATATGAGAAATGCTTCTCTAAAGCATGCATCCTGTCTGATTTGAGATTTTGCTTTTTATACGTTAAGGTTTTCTGTCCAGAAATGTTTTTTGTCTACTTTTAAATGGCTTTTCTGTGATTAAATATATTTGTAAATCAGTTTTTTTCAAACCTCTCTAGCCCATTCCCTCTAATTCAGCTCCAATAAGTGCAAACCTTGATTGTAGTGGCCTGCTGCCAAGTGTTAATGTATGACTGAAGGAGGGAGTGGGTGGGAAAAGAGTGTGAAAGCTCAGTCACCTTTCTCAAGTTAAATAAAAGTTAATAATTACACAGATAGATGCTTGTCTCTGCAATGAGTTGGTGTTCTGGGCCGGTATTTATCAAGCTTCTCAAAGTGCCATTTTAGTCTTAAGTGCTGAGAATTCATGAAATTTACTCCTACATTCAAACTTGAGTATTAAAGCAAGTTATCAAATTTCTTAAAGCTAAGAATCGCTTTTACTCTCCCAGTTATTTAAGACAACTCGAGAGGTCTCTCAAGTGGTTAGGAGTTGCCAGTAGAGGCTTGTGATGGCACTGCAGAGACAGACATGCGCGAATATTTCAGGAGAGGAAAAATGTTTCCAAAATTATTTGACAACACACTTAATTAGACGGGGTCGGACAGCCCAGGCATAGACTTTGTCAGCGAGTTGAAGGTTTTGATGACGCTTTGTTTAAATGCAGCAATGCTGATGATTTTGGTCCGTCATAACCATCAATAAGCGGAATTGTCATCAAAATAATTGTAGCACTTACAGCTCCACACTTTGTCATGCGTTTCATCGACTTCCCAACATCACCCCCCGTAATCAAGCGAAGCAAACACAGTTCATGCAAATAGCCGGCAATATAGGAGCAGTAGGTGCAATTAATGCACTTATATAAAGTCTTATATAAAATTTTCAATGTGTATATAGCCTATTTACATGATGTAGGCCTATTCTCTTAAAAATTCTTAACTGTCAAATGTGTATTGAATATAAACTCCTCATAGAAATTTCACCATTTAATGTGATTTGAGAATATTCTTAAATAAGGAAATCCATTCAGTGATTTGTCCTTGTCTACATTTTCATCCAAAATCCTGTTTGCGGCACAGCAAAGTGTTCACTCAGCACTAAGACTGAGACTTAAGATTTAGTCCTAAACTTCACTCAAATTAGGACCATGATGCTTGATAACTAACTTTTAAGCACAGCTTTGAGCCAAGCATTTTTTTACTCTTAAGTCAGTTCTTAGCAGTGTTCTTATGAGTAATTATGAAAAGCTTGATGAACACAGGCCCTGGAACCATCAGGGTTGAAAACTGTGGCTCTGCAAAAACAGGTTATTGAAGCAAAAAAAAACTAAATGTGTGCAATCTCAGTCTAGCAGAGGAACAGCTGACGGACTCTCTTCATTCCCCTTAGGATTCCCACTCATCAGTGGATGGAACAAAGAGAAGCAGCTAAGGGTAGAGGTTGTATTTTGTCTCTGTGCAGTGATGAGTTTGAATCTGGGTCAAACATGATCCAAGAGTAATACTCCTTGTTGTTATTATCATCCTGACACAGAAACTTGGTTTTAGGAAGAGTTGCTTATAAAAAAAAAACTTCAGATTTAGAAGGCAACTGAGGATGTAACATCAGGGCAAATTTGAGCTGACTGGATCAGGCAGAGAACCAACAGACTGACACTGGGCAAGGAACCTGAATTTAATTCCTGTTTGTAATGTTGTTATCGTGCTTCCAGACCTCTGAAACAACCGGGCTAATCAGAGGCTTTGTGGGTTGGACTGAACGCTGTTGACGTAATCAAACTGCATCAAAATCAGATGGATCTGGACATCTTAAAGACCC